ATGGAGTGTAGTCCATGTTGGGTTGGAGGGAGTGTGGTCCATGTTGGGTTGAATGGAGTGTGGTCCATGTAGGGTTGGAGGGAGTGGGGTCCATGTAGGGTTGGAGGGAGTGGGGTCCATGTAGGGTTGGAGGGAGTGGTGAAATATGTTGACACTTACACGTAGCGTCCCGTATTTCCTTCATTTACCCCTGATTGTCGTTTGTGGTTTTTGGTTAGTATTCTGTCTAAGTTTATCGAAGGGCTTGCCTCGGGACAGTCCATTGTTTTGTATTCTGCCAAACAAGAAGTTATAAATGATTGAGTAAAGATGAAACCGTATTTTTAACATTTATTCAGCAAGACTACGAGCGTTTATTGCTTTTTAGATAAATAACAAATGGAATGACAGGAGTAAAGCATATATGGATATGATTGATCATTAAAAATCATATAAATCATAAAAAAACTGCAGAAGTTAAAGGTACTCAAAGGGCTTGTTTCACACGAGCTGCTTGTCACTAGTACGACATGGCAACTAAATTATTGTTAGATTAATTGTTTTGGACGAAAAATAACTACTTTAAAAGCATTGCGAATAGTAAAAGTAGTCTGCTTTGTAAAGATGTAGTCGAGGATGTCTAAATGTAGATTGTCTTTTCTCGCTTAATCTCTTGTGCAAATCTTATAGCTGCATGTATTGAATGGAAAAACCAGTTATTACCCTCCATCAGCCCTGTATTGACCTTTATCGTACATCACGTAGATAATCAGACATTTCTTAACTAAAACCAATAAACTTTATGTATTGACTATTTGCTTAACCCGAAGGCACAACAAGTTCAGCAGGTGTTTTTTTAAAAAGAAAATGTTAATTTCTACTTCGTAATGTTGTCAAACACCAAAAAACTAATGCAAGTAGGGGGTTTTATTCTTGCAGTTTAATATACGCGACTGATTTCTCTTTTTTGTTGTCATTGAGAAGAGATTTCTCGAGTCCAAAGATGGAAATGATCATTTTTCACCTGGTCCTTTTCTTCGTACCGGAAAACCCAAGCGAAAAAAAGATATATTGTTGGATTATTGTCACTTTCAAAAAGGAAAAACCGAAAACGAATAAAAGATAAAGAAAGGAAATAAAAAATACTTTATAGATGAACTTGGTTTGCTATTCTTTCAAAGAAGCTGAAAATTATTAACGACGAATGTAAAATTTTATTAAAAAAGAGGAAAATGACAATAAAAGGTGGAATAGAACAATGATTTGCTGGGTTGTCAGTATTAACGATCTTGATGCCTTTCATCAGAAACTCCTTTAGAGGTCATCAGTAAAACCGCAATGAGCAATCGACAGAATTGTCGCAAAGTTAAAAGCTAACATATAAACATAAATATTATTATTATTATTATTATTAATACTACTACACAAGCGAGAATAGTTAACTTCTACCTTGATTTGTCCGTTAATTCCCATTCAGTAAGACCATCTGCTTCGGCTTGCTTGACTCGACCAAAAGTAAGCAAACGATATGATGAACTTTTGCTAAAAGCGACCGGCTAGGACCCTTAAACCAGTATGACGTCATATCCTGTTGCTTGGGGCCTGGGATAAAGTAGGGTATCAATCTTTGCTACAGTATCAATCGGTAATTAAACGACCTAGCCAATGATTAAAAAATAGCATATCTTATTAGCATATCCGTAACCTCGGGCTAGTAACGTATATCCATGGCAGCGGTTTGATGTGATTGGTTTATCATACAAAAATGTTTTACTGATAGTCCTTATTCGGTCAGTCGATTGTTGCTGACCAAAAGGAATGACGGCTCAGCCTGATCCTCGTAAATCCACGACTCACTTTCAACCTTTTATATGAGAAAGTTAGGTCAGAACGGATATCTTTTTTCTATTGACTAAAAAAGCTGCGCGAGTTCCGCTTTTGATGAAGTAAAATAGAAGAAGCTGTGTCAAGACTGTATTTGAAATTCAAAACACAACTATCAGTGCAAAACTCGAGTTGAAGCTGAACTCATCAAATATTTATAAGATTTAAGTGCATGCATTTGAACTAGCGACTACCAGCTTCTGCTGTACGTATTTGTAAAACACTCAGTCCAATATAAAATAGAATAAAGAAGACGTCCTGGGCGGTGAACAATTCACTCATTCAATTAAAAAGAATCAAAAAGATAAGAAATAAACATGTGATTGAATAAATATAGGGTTAGTAAAGTCGAAAGCATTTTTCATACTAATTGGGCAATGTAATAAAACTGAATCGCTTGCTGTCACTTATACTTGATTACTTACTGCCCAAACTCATTATCAAGTATAYTAAAAGCGGTCATAACGTTCTTCTCTTGTCCGTATGACGCGGCATGTTCCCGATTAACCCAATCAAGTAAGTATGGCGTTTCGCATACTTTTAAGTTGAATTTCTTGTCTTAAATGTGCAGGCTGTGACAGAGTTTGTCATTCTCTTCTAGTTATCATGAGTATAAACTTGATTGACTAAAAGCATATATCCCTCAATGAGACCCAACTATAATGGTGTAGCTGGGTTCAAAAACGTTTATACTTCAAATCATTCTATATTTCGAAATAGCATATTTAAAATCGTTCAGGATTCAGAGTAAAGTAACTTAGTAGTACGGTTAGGAATCCAGAATCAAGTAACTTCCGCACGCGGTGGTAGACTGGAGATCGCGGCGAGAGGAAATAGGCTAGGGAGTAGGGTACATACAATCTTATTAACTACTCTTTAGATCTGCAAGATATAACTACGAGATTGACTTGATCTAGAAATATGCTATGTTGTGCTTCCATTATTAGCAAAAGAATTCAAATTAAACGAGTTCCCTAATTGCTTATTTTCACAAATAGATAAGAAATCATCATGTTTTATTCATCAATATTAGTACTTATTGCATTTCTTATTTTAACGTTTAGTTTAGTTCATTTTGCGGCTTAACAACCACATTTCTATTATAACTATATATATATATATATATATCTGACTGTCGCTATAGTTGGTTGACATTACGACCACTAGCAAGCGTCACATTGGGATGTCTCCAGTCTACATAATATTAACATGATATTGGTGTTTGATATTAGCGATTGATATAAGTGATTGACTGAGCTGACTAAATGACTAGTAAGTAAAATAAAACTAAAGTTTGCTACGTTTGTTTGTTTGCAACATCTAATTCTATCTCAGTGATTTATGATATTAATAATAATAATGATAACAAAGAAGATTCATTGTCTTTGGTAACTGAACAAAATCTTAAAGGTTTCACTTAGCTTCTTTTTGTTTTTATTATGCATATTTCACACTGCGGTGAAGCTGCTTCTAAAAAACGTGCAAATCTGCATAAAAGTTACCTGTTAATAAGTGTATACATATTTCTATATATAGAATTAGTATATATTATGCCTTGCACTAGGTACGATATATCCTATAAGCTATCCCACGTATGAAGATGTGTTGTTAGAAAGAGCCATTATAAAATGTTATATTCAGTGAATATATCCATCTATCCATCCATGGCAATTTATCATGCATGTGACTGACTCGAACTCATTCGTGTGTGTTAAAGACACTGACTGACTGACTGACTAACTCAGTAATAGACTAGAATGTCGTATGTATCCTGAAAACTCAAGAGTAAGAAGCCCATCTACCACCTGTCGTTATTATTAATGCTTTAAATTTAAAATACATTATAATAATTATTGTACCTGTTAAGAGTGGCGTAGCTCAGCCAATACAGGTATTCCTATTTGGTTAACAAATGCCAAACACTTGACTCACCAACTTCAACATTCAAGCCGAGTTCATTGGACATGCAGAATTCATAATTCAGTAAGTAGGAGAAGACAAATGTAACACACTAAGTTTATGACATATCCTACTCATGTTCTCACTCAGGGCATCGAATTCAGTAACCCCGTCCCTCCAAATCTGTGTCGGTGGTTCAGCATCGATAACTGAAATCCTTGGGTAAGTAGTAATAGAGCCGAAGTAACAATTTGCCTAATGTAAAACTGATGTAAGAAGTCAGTGCACTCGTTTGTTCGCTACATACTATTAATTCTTAATTGGAATCTATCTAGTTCAAGCAAATTTAATTAACTAGATTTTTAAGGCTTTTAAATTCGACAGAAAAGTAGGAAGTTTTTTCCCTAAGCTATATTTAGAGACCTTGAGGTAAAACGTTTGAAGTAGTTTGAAAAATATTAAAAGCAAATGGGTACCGCAAGGACTACAAGTAATAGTAATAGATGCTGTGGTTATTAGCTAGCAGGCAGGCAGGCAAACAGGCAGGTAGGCAGGAAGAGGTAAGGAGGTAGGTGGCTTAATATGCTGCTCATCATTCCTCCTTTTACAATCTTTCTCTTTCCATTTACCTCGTTTTTCCTGTTCTTTTTAAACTTTTTCTAACATTAGAACTTGACTAAAATGACTAGATTCAAACTTTTTCTTCTCATTAATAATAGTTATGTATTTGAACACTTCAGGTAAACACATTCGTCTTGAATGGATTAATCAAGAATTGAATATAGAATCGGTTTACCCGGCTGAGGAAAACGGCGAGCATAGTCTTCTTCCAAGGAGGATTCCACTCAACTTAAGATTCTCATCCAAGGTAAGACGATGGTTTTAGGAAAGAARCCTAATAGTTCTTTTACTTCACACAGTTTATTATAGAAATGAATTCTATTTTGGGTTTCGGCTGTCATTTTTGCAGGGGCTGTTAAGTATACTTAGAAGTGAAATCTAAAGCTCATGACATTGTTGATGGTTAGAGAAGTTCAGCAGTGTAGTCATGTACAATTGTATTTCTCACTACTAAGTTGTTTGTTAAGTCGTCGTTTCACGCACGCTGAATTTGTTTTTATTTCTGGCGATATTTCTGGCGACTTTTTTTATGGTTGAACAAGCAGAAATGTGCGAACTGCTGCTAGTATTATGAGAAACGAAGTCAGGCATAGAGCTTATTGAAAGCCAGTAAGTTAACCCACCAACAAAATGGAAGCAAAATCAGAAACTGAACGTAAACTGCTGAGAGAACCTTGAAGTTGATAAATGATATAATTCCACTTAGTAATTACTGTTATGACCCATAACTGGGGGAGGGAGGGCAGGCACAGTGCATAATAGCTGTAGGGTAGAATAACAATGACCTCACGTGATCATGACCATGCCCCGTGGTGATATTGCAGTATTTTTTACCATATCTACAATAGCACCAAAAGAGACCAAAGAAATAATAGGCTGCATAAAGTCATTAAGCACACGTTTGGTTTGCGATGAACAATTAATGCAGAGAGAATAGTAAGTAAGTAAGTAAACTCTTAATTTACTGAGGGTAGCAGTGAATAGCAATATGCTAACAAACCTGTGGCCCTCAAATATATAGACTATGAAGATATGTGTATAAAAAAAATATACTAAGAATGATGACTACAAAATAAAAAACCCCCACACCAAAAAATAAATTATAGCTAATATTTGTTATTATTATTGAGTGAACCAAAGTTAAGCTAAGAATAAGGAAAGCATTTTGATATATCAATTGCGTATCAATAACGTTTTATGCAAAGAAATATAACCAATTAAAAGGTTGATAGAAAATTGTGTTACTGATCAACCAGTTATGAGCCATTAACAAAACTTACTAACAGGTGTTGGAATAGAAAGCAGCTAGTCGGCAGTGTTCCCGCACTGATACTCATGAATTGAAAGTGTCTTGTTCAAGTGTCAAAAAACGGCTTGTTTATCACCTGGCAGGTCATAACTAAACATCACCAACAAGAAGAATTCCATGTATTAGTTTTTCCTGATTCTGTAAGTATAATTCATTTGTTTAGATTATTTCCAATCAGTAGTAACAGAATAATAGCCTTACAAACAGTATTAGACTTCCCTTCATTAATTCTGGTTAGAAATTAGCAAATATTCAAAAGTTTTTTGAAGAGAAATGAGTCGTGGATGTTGCCTGACATTATCTATAGCAAGACACTGCAGTTAACATATCTGTATGGATTCAACTCTCTTCTGTATCGGTGGACGAGCAGTAGTACAGATACGATAACTTAAATCCTGCAGGACTCACTGAAAGTTCATCTTTTTTTTAATTTTCTCATATTTTCATATAAGGTTGAGATTCACAGGAAAACCATTGACATTACATTAATTTCTCATGTACATCGGATCGAATAAACATTTATTGTAGCCGGCAGTATCAGTCCGTTAAATGTTTCATGATATACGCGAGTACTAGCATGAAAAAACTCAAGAAATCCAATTAATGTTGATAACAAGAAATTCAAAACGTTACCTCGTTATTCACGAGTTGTAAGATGTCTAAAGTTTTGTTTCAGTGTGCTATAGGGTCTGATAGTATTCATCTTCAGCATACATTAATCCAATGGCTCACCTTGCGATTTTCAAGAATTTTTGATACAACACTATTACAAGGTCTACAAGGTCTTTTATTTCCACTTACAACAATATAAAATAATACATAAAAAAAACATAAGGGCAAATTATTATGGTGGTAGAGTGCAGGAATACAACCCAAAGGGTTAATGAAAAAGCTTCCTACATTGAGATAATAAAAATTTATAACGTGTTTTAAACATCTTATGAGATGAGCTTGCTTTTATTTCGAGAGGCACATCGTTTACACATTGTTTACTTTGATGACTGAAAGATGGACAATAATGATCAAAATATAATGTATGATGCATGGTCATTACAGTAATGATAGTGGAAGAAAATAGCCATCATCAATACATTGGCCAGTGATTTGGCAATCCATTTGCGAATACATTGGAAGCGTTAATCAAACTTTAATAGCGATACCGATCAGAACAAAATGTAGTGGAGGGGTGGTAATACTGATAAGGTTGTTAGCAGATGCTACCCTCACACTTTACCATGCTACCCTCACACTTTACCATGCCACCCTCACACTTACCATGCTACCCTCACACTTACCATGCTACCCTCACACTTACCATGCTTCCCTTCTATATTTCAATTTTTTTGAATATCGGTTAATTAAGGCATCTTAATAAAGTTATGGCTGGTAACGTTTACAAGTCTAATTTTCATTCCATTAAAGGCCTATCTTATCACACAATAGCGAGTCTGACAGTGTTGTTGAGGATTTCTCTTTTTATTCATCAGTATTTCTAGATGTTGAACCGAGGGAATTTCACGTCGATTATTGCTCAAAGTCCGGTAAGTTCATTCTACTATTATTTATTCAGTCTTGCATGTAAACGATCAGACTCAGCCAGATAGCCATGCAGACAAATATCACCCTATCCTCACACGCACTGAATAAGTGTAGATTCAAAACATCACTAACGCATTGTAGAATACTCAGTTACTGACCATAAGAACCTTAACGCTACCAAAGGATTTTAGCGTTTTTCTTTCAAAAGAATTGTCTGCCATTCAAAGAACTATTTATTTATTTATTCTTTCAATTCACCTCGGTTTAATCTGATGCAGTTGTTGGATCGTGTTCAATGCACTGCATGACTATCTGTCTCTTGCATGAATATAGAAATGAAACGAATGCGGGGAAGCGTCAATTTACTATGCTTCCCACCCTACTACACACGGGATAGACCATAACAGCCAGCAGTTTTAATTATTTGGCACCCATGCTGTTATAACTGTTCAATATATGCAAATCAGCTGTAAAGTGATAGTTTGGTATTTCCATGTAGCTTGTTGTTGAGCCTGATATATTCAAGAAAGCGGAATAATGCCTATCAAAGTCAAATGCTTTGCCAAATAGTTTTTATATGTTATTTATATAAATATTGTCAAAACAGGCCGAGGTGCAGGCTGGGTAAAAACAAGACCCAATTATATATTCGTATTCATAGTTGACTTTTCAATAGATACAGGATCCAGAGCGCTATTTCCTATCAATACTAAATTCAGTTGATTGTATTAACACAATATTCTGGATGATCATAAAAAAGATAGTGGAGTAAGCCATTAATAAAGTTGATAGATGAAGAAAGAATGAGAGTGAGCCCTAGAAAGATTTCATAAAACGGTCCAGCCGTTTGTTGTCATTTATTATGACCAAAGCTTTCAGCCTTTGGGGGATTTTAATTTTTAATGATTTCACATAATGCTGGAAGTAGCGAGTATGAGAATGAAAAACTCATTTTTCTATCGTCACGCAAGAAAAGTTAATTAGATGTGTTACTGACCTATCAACTTAAAAACTAAACTCTTCAGTCCTGTCGCTCTAGGCAATTCCTCATGTTTTATCACTGGAATATTAAGGAATTTTTCCAAACTTCTTTTACAAAGTTGAGGGCAAAGATGCCCAAGGACGATGAGGATGAGGAGAAAGATGAAATTCACAAACCCAAGAGAGTGAGGTTTGCTGCCAACGACATACATCATGAAGTCGACGAGGAACCTGATGAAGAAAAGCCTATAAGACGTAAAGTACCTTCCTATATTATTGGGCATCCTCTAGCCGATTATGATGCTACTGAAGGATCGGTAAGGATTTATTTATCCAGCACGAACAGCTGCTCATGATGATTTCTTACTGTAGTTAACATTAGGCTCTAGGATTCAGTTATTAAACTAACAAAATTCAAGTATATTAGAATAGTATGTTTTGGTTGATTTATTAAGAATGAAGTGATGGTTTTAGTATTGGCTGATGCAAGTCTTGTAACTCAGTTGTGGTGACTCCGTGTCCTGATAAGGCTAAGCCGACATTCTGATAGTTTTGCTTAATAAACTTCTGTGGTTTTGGGTCAAATGAAATATTTACGAAACGAAAACGAGAATCATTTCTACTAGTTACTTCTCGTCGATCAGTTCAGTCAGTTTTGGATTTGTTCAACTTATTGTGGCATTTTTGACTTCCGGGTGCACATTTCAGATTCTAGTGCTTCACATTGTTGCCGGCAATAGTTTCATCATTATTTTTCAGTTTTTCGGTCTATAATGAAACAAATGGTAGAAAATAGCGAGAGAAGGGTGTTAGTATAGGAGTCAGTCGAGACACTGATCAACTTATTACTTAGTGTGACTGTGTTGGTCTATATATAATAGTGTCTTCAAAAGATGTTTGAACTAAACTACTGAACAATCTGCGTCAAAGACTTCCCTTTAACATATTTCATTATTTTGCAGTATTCATAATTAACACGTTTGGTTGTCAAAGCAACAGACTCGATCTTTATATTTTGATGTTCAAACGCTCAAGTTTTGTATCAATTTGAATTGTGTCTGAGATCGCTTCTCAAAAGCAAAATATCAGATAATTGATTTGAAAACAGAGAATTGCCTGCCTAATATCACGGGGCCTAAAAGCCTAAAAACTTTATCTTGAAAGCTTATCAATTGAATGTTAGTTATATGTTTTGTCATGTTGTCAAATGAATGTTAGTTATATGTTTTCTCATGTTGTCAAATGAGTGTTAGTTATATGTTTTGTCATCATGGTTTGTCATGTCGTCAAATGACGAGGTTTATATATAAAAAACAATTTTTGATAACTAATGTCAAAGCAACGAGTGTAACATCGAAAAATATAGAATAAGAATCAGGCTTGTTGACATTTTGTTATGTTCTGTCCTTAACAGCGTCCTTCAGAAGAAACGTATATTGTTCTTAGTACCAGGCTAACATCGAGTAGTTACCAGGCCTACAGGTATAACCTTGGTGCGTCACTATGGTGCTTGAGTCCTGTCAATCCATTGCGCATTCTTACTATTCGTATAGTAACACATCCGTATCCTTTACAAGTCCATCAGCCAATGATTTACTTAATCAATGTCGCTTTTTCACTCATTTCATACACATTTCCTTAACGAATACAAAATACAGATTTTTCGAGATGTTTGTAATGGTTGTCATTCTTGTGAACTGCATAATATTAGCATTAAATGACCCACCCGAAGAAGCGGAGTAAGTACTGATCTGTAATGTACTATATGGTCTAACTGATAACCTACTGAGGGACTAGGGGTGGGGGATTGTTTTGAATAGTTGCTTATATTATCTTTTTGTCTGTCTACAGATACATATTCACTGCTATTTACACATTAGAAATGCTGCTTAAGATCATTTCTCGCGGTTTCATACTTCATACGTATGCTTACTTAAGAGACTCGTGGAACTGGCTTGACTTTATAGTTGTATTCTTAAGGTAAGCTACCAACTGAAACTAATCAATGACTATTTCATTCCTTCTCATCAATACGTTTATATTATTTAGCTATCTATCAATTGCTCCAAACATCGCCAGTTTCTCTGGAATACGAACATTACGTGTTTTACGAGCGTTCCGAACAATATCAGCATTAAAAGGTAATTCCTATTATCRTTGTTTTTTTCTTATTCGGCGTAAATAAAATGGTTGTGTATTTGTACAGTTTCTCATTAAGTTTTTCCTTATCACAGGGTTACGTACCATGGTCAATAGTCTACTAAGATCGCTCAAGCTTCTGACTGACGTCTTGGTTTTGTTTATGTTTTCATTATGTGTACTTGCTCTAATTGGTTTGCAACTGTTTTCTGGTGAATTAAGGAACAAATGTGTACAATTGCCTTTACCAAACACGTCAATAGAATATGTTCGCTATATTAACAATGCAAGTAAGTGAAAAAATGATTCCTTTACATATGTATTTTGCAGTTCCTATGAGCCATTTCGAGGTTGAGCAATAATTTGGGTCGAGTTGACATTACAGTGCATTGTGGGACTGTTATAAGGGACAAATACCGACGCCATCTTAGAAATACCTGCCCTAAAGCAGCCCCACAATGCACTGCAATGCCAAATAGACCCAGTTTTTTGCTCAACTTTAGAATGATTAATAAAAGGTGATCAAAAGCTAGAAACATGCCGCTCAATGTATCGACATTAAGTTATTAACAAAAAATAAAAAATATTGATAGAGCGCCACATTTCATTTTGTTAGGTAACTGGTACTCTCGTGATGACGAGCCACTTATATGTGGAAACTCTTCAATTGCAGGGTAACTATTGAAATACAATTCTCCTAATATGTCGATTAAAATAGTTTGTATTCTTTAAGGCAGTTAATGCTAATAAACCACTGTTTTTTTTCATTGTCAGTGGCTGCCCGGTAAACTACACGTGCTTGAGTGGTGCAGGTCCCAATCCTGACCATGGCTATACCAACTTTGACAATATGGGCTGGGCGCTGGTTATGGCTTTCCAGATTCTAACCATGGACTTTTGGGAAAACCTTTATGACAAGGTAATCTAATCGTGCCTCAGTACATTCCAATTCAAACTTGTTCAGTAGTCGGTAATGAACAATACATTTTTTTGGTTATAGTGTCTTCGTTCTATGGGAGCTTGGTATATAATGTACTTTGTTGTCGGCATATTTTCATGCTCATTCTACTTGCTTAATCTTGTTCTGGCGGTTGTCTACATGTCCTATCATCACGAGATGCTTTCAAGTGAGGACGAGGTAATTATTATCTTACTTTCTGCTGAGTGACAAGCACTTCTTGTGTAAGTCTATTGATGATGATTTACTAGTCTACTTTTTAATAGGATCTATGTACTTGCAAGTTTGCCTTTAGAAAATTATCTGTAAGTCCAAACCCGATCTGACTTGGGTTTGTCTAATCTTATTAGACTGTATTGGGATATTCCGTCCAATGAGAACAGATATTAAGATGAACATGCATTCAATTGTAATCTTTTGTATTGAAGGAAGTACGGCGCAAGCAAAACAAGAAAAAAGCAATGTCATACTCCGCTGACCAAGATACTTTACGACGTCTGGAGCCTTTGGAACGACACTTGTATCCCCCGGATTACGAGGAAGAAGAAGAAGAAAAAGAACACGACGAAGACGAAACCAATGCACATGAAGCTCTCATTGGTGGCTCACAGATAAGCAACTCATCATGTGAACGAAATGGCCGACTCAAAATCCTGCACAGTAAAATGTCCAAGTTTGTTGAGCGTCCACTATTTGATGGAATAGTTACAGCTCTGATACTATTGAATACAGTGGTCCTTAGCATGTATTACCATGGCATGTCACCTGATTTAGAGTTGGTTCTAGACATCTTAAACGCCGTAAGTTTCAGTTTCTTGTTGTTCGATCGTATGGTGTTTAAATTCCTCAGCCTGGACCAGGCCAAGGTCTGGCTGCCAGAGTGCGAGAACTAACTCTTCGACTAAGAAAGTCGCGCAAAGAATGGAGAAGAATTACATTATACGTTGTGAATAATAAACAATTGACTGTTCCTCGGTTACACTGAACAGGGTTTATTTCATTCTTTACAGATATTTACCGGCATTTTCCTGCTAGAAATGATGATAAAAATTCTTGTCGTCGGCTTTTGGAAGTACGTTTGTAACAAGTGGAATCTGTTTGATGGTATCATTATCCTCGCTAGCGTTGTAGCATACTTCCAGGGAACCTCCACTGGAATCAGCATGTTTAGGATATTAAGACTGGTAACTAAGTGAACCATGCTTTTAACTGTAATTCTGACTCTACTATCTTTTGCCTAACAAATAGTTTGTTTTTTGTCTTTTCTAAGCTTAGAGTTCTTTACCTGGGTCGGTCATGGGAAACCATGGCAAAGCTGATTCAAGCCATTGCCCATAGCGTCGATCCCATCCTTAACATCACGTGTATTCTTGGTGTGATTATTTATGTATTTGCTGTGATGGGAATGCGTATCTTTGGTCCAGCATACACTGAAGAGAAGTTTGGAGCTGGTCAAGTACCACGCTGGAACCTCAAGGACTTTTCTCACTCATTTATGATGGTCTTTAGGATATTGTGTAGTGAATGGGTTGAACCACTTTGGGACTGCATGCGAGTGACTGACGCGGCTGCGTTACTCTTCTTTTTGCCTTGTCTAATAGTTGGCAATTTTATTGTAAGTCCGTAGCGTTCCATCTCGTCCATTTGAGTTTTCATTCCTTAACATTGACCCAAAGTTTTACCAGTTTTTGATCATTTTCCGCAGGTTCTTAACCTCTTCGTAGCTCTTCTTCTCAACTCTTTTGCAATAAAAGAAAATGAAACGATTCAAAAGGAAGAGAAACCGAAGAGAAAAAGACGATGTCGCTTAACTGAGACCAAGAAAACCCGTATGTACGTTGCAACATTCAGAGAAAGATACAAACTTTATCAAGTTAAGGTTTTGGAAAGTAGCAGAGCAACCGAACCCGGAATTGGATCTCCATTACAGGAAAGATATTCGGACGTGACGCCAAAGGGACATAAAATTGAAAATATCAATCGTATGTAGAATAAAAACCGCAATAACGCATAACTAGAATAAGCACGTCCTCCTTCAAGTAATGTATTAACTTAAAATGTATTCTTTGTGTTTGATTCCTAGTTGAGAGCATATCGCAATGTGGGTCGGACAGCTGTGCATCATCGAGTAATGTAGTAGATCGTAACAAGAATCCCAGTCCAAAACGATATATCATAGAGATAGACGACTGCTTTCCACAGTGTTGCATGATTTGCTACTGCCCTTCTGGCCAACACTTTTGCTGGCTCAAGTTCCGTTGTCGTGTGCGTTGTTTTGTTGAACATCGTTATTTTGAATGGTTCATTCTCTTCACCGTCATGATAAGCAGTTTTATATTGGTTAGTAGCTACTCCGTGTATATTGTATGTCAGTACACTCTTCTAAGTTTTGTTATTCTTGGCAGGTATTCGAGGACGTTCACCTTCCAGAAAAGCCAAACCTTCAACGAGCACTAGAGATGCTTAATTTCATTTTCGCAATTATTTTTAGTCTGGAGTTTTTTCTGAAGGTCATTGGATTTGGCCTGGTCAAGTACTTCTCGTCTGTTTGGAACTGTCTTGACGCTCTCATTGTATCGGTAAGTTATCTTTCACACTCACTAACCAAGATACTATCATACAAACTTTCTGCTACGCTTCACTTTCAGGTTTCCGTTGCATGTCTTTTTGGAAATCCAAATCTTTCAGTGTTTCGCTCATTTAGGACAATACGAGCTCTACGACCTCTCAGAGCGATATCGCGATTGGGAGGCATGAGGGTCAGTATAATATTAATTTGATGTTTTATTGGTGAAATTATTCATCGGTATTAAGACCTTATTACTTATGCCCATCAGGTGGTTATTAACGCTCTTTTTGCTGCTATTCCTGGTATTGGGAATGTTTTGGTCATTTCTATCTTATTCTGGCTTATGTTCAGTATCCTTGGTGTTCAGCTATTTGCAGGTAAATCATTTCATGGTTTGCTAACCTGGTTCGTATGTGATCGTTAGAGTAACGCTCTCTTTCAATCATCCAGGTAAATTCTTTAGATGCGTAGATGAGAACAATGAAAGGTTGCCAACAAGCGTCGCACCAAACAGGACTTCATGTCTGAACCAAACCAACTACCGTTGGGTCAACGCGAATGTGAACTTTGACAATGTCTGTAACGGCTTCTTAGCGCTGCTTCAAGTGGTGAGTTCAATAGCTTATTCTTAGCTCATATGAAATATCTTACTTTGTACGGAAAAGAGAAGATCACATCGTATTTTGTTCTTTTTTCAAAAGGCAACATATGAAGGATGGATGGAAGTGATGGCTGATGCTGTTGATTCAACCGAGGTATTTTTGATCTTAGTCCGAGTACTTTCTGGCCACTCATTGTATTAGTTTAATAACCTCTTTCTTTACATATAATTGTTTACTTTCTGTTACTTACACAGGTAGATCAACAACCGATGTTTGAAAACAACATGCTGGCTTATGTGTACTTTGTAGGGTTTATTATCGTAGGATCATTCTTTGTTCTCAATCTTTTTGTTGGTGTCATCATTGATAATTTCAACACTCTCAAGAAAAAGGTAAGCTCCATACCTAAAGTGTAACCAGACCACAGACATGTCAAGTAAGTCCTGTTTTTGTTTGGTATATTTTCAGTATGAAGAGATCAGTAGTATGGGGATGTTTCTCACAGAATCACAACGAAAATGGGTGCAGATTTTAGTAGCTGCATCAAGAAGAAAACCACCATCAAAAACAATTCGCCCTTCAGTAAGTCAACCGACCAATCTTTAACGCTAACACAATTCATACAGTACTAATATCGTTCAAGAATAAAGATTAATCAATAATCAATTGTTTATTCCTTATTTCAGGATTGCTTCCGGGGAAAGATATTTGATTTAGTGACGAGTAATAAATTTGAAATTTTCATTTTAACGGTCATCATGATAAACATGGGATTGATGATGGTACAACACTACAGACAACCAGAAGATATCTCTAACGTCATGAATATCCTTTAATAGCTATCCATAATATAATTGCATTAATCACTTCTTGGTAATCCTACTAATAGATTGGCGTTTTCACAAGATTGCGTGCGCATCCAAATTTAAGGAACTTAACGGGCCACGATACCAGAACACGAGTATTATCATGCATTGCTATGAAAAATTTTTAGATAAGAATTCATAAAATCGATTATTCTTCTCCTTAGATATAAAACTGTCTTCTCAATTTTGCTGAATTTGCGTTTTTCAGCTTTGTGGCCCGTCAAGTTGGATGCGCATGCAACCTTGAGAAAACGGTCTATTGTTTAATCAAACTCTGTGTGTTGTTTCACCTTGACTCACACCGTTGCATATTTGCACGGTCACACAAATTGCCAACTTCGTTCTTGTAGGAATCTTTCTTTTCGAGGCGATTATCAAACTGATTCCAATGAGGCATCACTACTTCAAAAAGGCTTGGAACATTTTTGACTTTATAGTTGTCGTGTCTTCTGTTGTAGGTTAGTAAGCACGTGTAAAATATTACACTATCACGCGTTAACGCACGTAACAAGGGTTTTCAATTCCTACAGGTATTGTACTGGATGAGATGAATACACAGTCAGGAGTGGTCAACGCTGGTCTTCTACGTGTAATTCGTGTATTTAGAGTAGCAAGATTACTCAGAGTCGTACAGTTTGCCAAACGAATACGTCAATTATTGGTAGCAATTATCATTTCCATACCTGCTTTGTTCAACATTGGAACCCTTTTGTTTCTTATCATGTATATCTATGCCATAATTGGCATGGCTTCCTTTGGTAACGTAAAAAAGCAAGGAGAGCTCGACGATTTCGTTAACTTCCAAACCTTTGGGAAATCCATGATGTTGATATTTCGCTTGTCAACAGGAACGGGATGGAATGATATTTTGGATGCTCTAATGGTACAACCACCAAACTGTGATCCAAACTATCAAAATCTTCCCAACGGCAACTGTGGTTACGTTGTAGAATCAGTCTTCTATTTAGTGTCCTATATTGTGGTTGTATTTTTAATCATTGTTAATATGTACATTGCCGTTCTTCTGGACAATGTCAACCGCGCCCACGAAAGCGACGAATTCGGACTATCGAAAGAAAAATTTAAAAGTTACTATCATAAGTTTGCCAACTTTTCATTGGGTAAGCAATACATTCCAGTTTATTTGTTATCGGATTTCCTGTCCGACTTGGATAAACCGTTCAGAATACCGAAACCTAACGACGATGAAATAAAAACATTGGCGATTCCAGTACGAGAAGGAAATGTTGTCCACTGTTTTGATGTGCTGAAGGCTCTGGTAAAAAGAACTTTACAGGAACATGGTGAATCGCCCGAAGCCTTTGAACAGATAACCGTACGTATGGAAGCGCAGTTTAAAAAATCATTTAGCAAGAAAGTATCTGTTGCTATTATCGGATCGACGATGCTTCGCTTTCACAGCACGCCAATAAAAACAACGAATGAAATCAGTTGATCAAGTGCTTGCGTGGGTCTAAGCTGTGGAGGCTTTACATCCGACAAGTGTTACTATGGAAAGTTGTCCATGGATACAAAGACAAATGCTTAGCAAACAGTTGTCATGGCGATCACCAACACAAGATGGTAACACAACGTTGAGTATAGCTGTTGTCATAGTGATCGAGGAATTCTTACAAAGTATAGTGACATTGAATAATTATTTTATAGTCATTTTATTGAATAGTTTTGATAAAAGGGAAATATCATCATAAAGAGTAATATAGCTACAATATAAGACCATTCGATGATTCCCGCGCAACAGACCAATGCCCTATATTAATATCTGTTTAGTAAGAGTTACACTCAGTAACATTTATTGACTTTTTTTAGGATGAAAAAACTTGCTCTGTTAAACAGTACAAAATATATTTTCAACTAAATAGTAGGGACTAGTACAATTTAGTACTACTATACAGTAATGTTTCATGGTTATAGTGAGTGTACTCTACTTCTGTTCTCGTTAGATTTTTTGTCTGTTTTATACATATAGAAAACGTTTCCAATGCTATACAAAATGTTTTTATAGATATAATAATAGTTTCGATGCTTGATAACTTTCTATTTTCTGATTAGTTCAAAAAACTAATACTTATCTCGGTTATCCATACTGATACTCTAGTTTGAAATGTCATACTACTGTAGTGTCCTCTGGTATTATCCTGCCATAGTTAATAGAGATCCTGCGAATACTAATGAATATAGAGCTAATCCGTTCTATAACGAGCAATAGTAAGATGAAATCATTCAATCAATTAGGTTTTTACAAGTCAAATAGCCTCGATACATCAGGAATTTTAGTAGCTTACTAAACATTTTTAAACCCTAACAGTCTTGGACTGTAGTCAAGACGCACTATGCGTCAAGTACACCTGAATTGTCAGCAACGTCAATAATGATAATAACGGTTATTTAATTGAATAAACATGAAAATTTTCAGTATATATGCCGGGATGTGTTTCATAATGTTTGTACCCGCTGATTCCAAATCCCTACATTTAAGGCATAGGTAGTAATGTTCATCTTGCTCAAATCGTTAAGGTACTCAAAATCCCTTGTAAGCAACCACTCTCGTGGGCGATCATCTGCTTAAAACGACCACTTTCTCTAATTTCCGTTTTTTGTTTTCAATATTAACCCTAGAACACTGTAATCAAAATCCCTCGTAAGCGACCACCGTTGAAGTTTTCTTGAATTCTTTCTTTTCCGTTAGCGACTACTCCCACTGATCATGAGACTGTTGTAATGTTTTTTAATAAACACAATCTAAACGCCATTTATTTGCCCATGAAAGTATTGCGCGAAGCTTCTGCAAGATTTGAAATGTAAAACAGTATTCATTTCACCTTCAAGATTCGTCCGACAATCGCGGACTTCGTCAGGTTGAGTGACAAAAATCCTTGATATGCCTGTATAAATAGCTCAGATTGTGGACGTAGTCTTTGCGCTAAAATAAATAAATACTAATAATGCTTTACAATCCAAATTCCGCAGAAGTGCTAGTCTGACTTTTCAAAATATCTTTCAAAAATTGTTTTATAAACATAGAAAGTTCAGACAAACACGTCATGCGAATCAAAAGTGATTACAGCCGAAGGTGGTCGCTTACGAGAGTAATTTAATCTATAATTATAGGTAATTAATAATAGGTGATAGTGTTGGGGGGGGGGGGAGGGGGGGGGGAGGGGGTTAATTAAAGTGCTCCATCGTCTTCCATCGCCTCGCGAGGGGGTAGTGCAACAAGTAACACCTTGTCAAAGAGATAACTTTAAGATAACTGACGTGTCTATATGCATGTATTCTATTGGGACAGTTGGAATAACAGGTGACGAACAATGATAACCTGTTAGAAAAAAACCCGCTCTTATCCTAAAGATGGCAAATTTGACGGAAGATGTGTTAGCAAAAAATATACCATTCAAGTTGTCGGTTCTAACAGTTTGTCGATGGATTGCATTTTGTTAATTATCGATAAATTTGTTCGATCTTCTAATTAAAAAAAAAACATTTCTTGATTATCTGTTTATGTAGTATCGGAAAAATACGAAGCTTGTCTCATTTTATTCTCTTAATCATTCATTTTGATCTTCAACCTGTCCTATAGCAAGGAAAGTCAAGCAGCTATTGGCTGACCCAATTTAGTACCCGCCATTTATCTGAAAATTCATTTTACGAAAGACAAAAGGTGCAATCTTTGAACAAAGCCAGCCACCATGCTGTAGCAATGAAATCACCTGTAGCACGCTTCAATGCTCTTTACTAATTCTCCTTCAGTGGATTGATCGGAGAGCACCCGATGTTTCTCCGATATTTACCGACACTAAATTATTAAGTAAGTTAGCTTATGAATTAAAAATGTTATTCTTTGCTAGCTGAGTTCTAGTTGAATGGAGGATAGTCTTTGTACTGAAAATGACTTTCAAAATCTTTCATTGTATGTGATTTACCGTCGAATAGAAAGAGAACTAGGTTTCCCTAGTGCGTAACAAACTGAGGTAAGTTTTACAGGGGTAACTAACAACTTGATACTACTCTACAGCTAATTCAAATGCTCCATTAGTTTACCCTAAAAACTTCAAATTCCAGTGTAATGAGATCATTTTTATTGTCCGCATTAAATTTTCCTTAGTAACGTCAATAACTTAACTTAGCTGGAGTGTTGCTAATATGGCTACATAAGTTTTGTGATAAATTGACTACACACATTGATAAAACCAAAATACATTTGAATAAATCTAAGATTTTAAACTCTACCTGTATGTAATATCCTTAAAAAAATACGGCGTTTTAAAGCAACCAACTATTAAGTCCAGCGGTCTAGACTGTTGTAATCGTTATTATCCTTACGTTATTATCCTCAGTTCTATTGATCATTATATATGAATATAGTATAATTGAACGAATATCGTGATCAGATTGGCTTCTCGTAGATCGGGTTTGACTGGTTTTCACAATCGATAGAGGGAGATAGAGAGAGCCTGGACAGCAGTTTCTGTGATTTGTTCCTCTGGTTCTGCTTGAGATGATGATAATCTAGTTTCTAGTTGTTACAAGTATCGAAATCATAGGCGGAAGCAACTTCCTCGACTCAGCAGTCTTAAGGAAAACGATGCTACGATACTGTATTCTAGTTTAATATATGCGGACATTATATAAAGGTTATTACACTGCTAGTTGTGTATTACAGTGTGAAACCCGCACAAAGGAAAAGGAGAAACTTTCCTCGCTCTGACATCAGCAAAAAAAAWAAAATTTCAAAACCGGTTCACAGACCTTGTATTTCTATTGTTCTGTCGTAATACACGGGAAATTGAGTGTGTCGTACTGTATAATATTATACTGATGATGCTATTTGAATGAACGTTTTCTTTACACCAGCACAGTCGCTCATGCATGTCTACAAGGTATCACGGTTTGCAGGCTATGGCAACGAATAAGTCATGACAAAAGGCAAAGGTAACCATAAAACAATCATCTTTATATACTAACACGTATGTTTTATTCAACTAAATGTCCTGGTGTTTTGCTAATTTACAGAAGCAGGTAGGATACAGGTCTATGCTCGGGTGCGTCCCTTCACTGACAAAGAAAAGGATAAGAAAGAAACCAATGCTATAGCTTTACACCATGATCACTCTTTGGTAAGCACATTCATTTTTGATCCACGTTTGAATTAAATAATACTGACAGTAGTGTAAATGATTGATTTACTTGTCATTCAGATTCGAGTACTAGATCCGCGAAGAGAAACTAATTACTTCTTTGATGGTGTTTTTGGTCCAGAAGCGTCCAATTATGAGGTATCTCGTTATATGTAGCAATAAACATCGTCTTATATTCTATACTAAAATTATGGTCTAAAATGATCAAATAGGTGTACCTTAAAGTGGGACGACCTCTTGTGTATGCAGCTCTTAATGGTTACAAAGGAACACTGCTAACCTATGGGCAAACAGGCACAGGTAAGTTAAACATTCTTATTTAAATATTGAATATTTGAATATTCTGAAGAGGAAACAGCAGAACTAATACATTTTTACTGTAGGCAAGACCTATACCTTGCTATCAGAGGATGGAGTAACTACAAATGTCGTGAGTCACTGTTTCGAAAGAATACAGGATGATGCGATACACAGTTACAAGGTATGTAATGATAGCAACTGTTAGTGACAATCTTAAACTGAACAAGAGATTTATAAAGCTGAATTGAATTCTTTAGATCACGTGCTCCTTTCTTCAAGTTTACCAGGAGAAAGTTTACGACCTTCTTAACCCAAGGTTTACAGTTGAGCTCCCAGTGCGGGAACATCCCAAGAAAGGTAAAAAAATAACATCCAAACTTTACTTTGTACTGTATCCAGGTAACTCTAGCCTAATCTTTTTCTCTTAAATCAGGAGTTTACGTAGCCAATCTAACACAAAACGAAGTAAAATCAGCCGACGACGTACTGGCTTTACTTGAATATGGAAAAAGACAACTGGTAATGGCTGAGACCAAGATGGTTCGTCATTCCAGCAGGTAAATCAAGTACATGGTACATGGTACAAGTTGTGTCTGGTTAATAAGGAAGACAGTCTTAGTAAATCATGTGTATGGTACATGGTACAAGTTGTGTCTGGTTAATAAGGAAGACAGTCTTAGTAAATCATGTGCATGGTACATGGTACAAGTTGTGTCTGGTTAATAAGGAAGACAGTCTTAGTAAATCATGTGCATGGTACATGGTGCAAGTTGTGTCTGGTTAATAAGGAAGAGTGCGTATTTTTTGTTGCAGGTCCCATTCCATCATGCAACTTATCATTGAGAGAAGGCTCAAAGCGCACATTGCAATGGGTAAATATCAAAAATATGCACATAACCACGTATGGCAAATGACAACTCGGATCACATTGAGCTTATGGAGAGTCCGTTATTCTATTTTCAGAGCAAGCTTCTCGTGAAGATTTAGCGCCAACATCTCCCGAAAATGTACACGACTCAATTATGGCGGTGGACGAGACAATAAATAACCTTTTGAAGGAACTGAAACAAGAAAGAAAATCGCACCACAGGGTAGGTATCTCACCCTTGTATACTTATTCAAATACTGATCGTAAAGAGATTTAATTCCTTCATCATTATCCTTTTAGAGAGAAAGGGAGTGCCTAAAGGAGCTCATGGAAAAAGAGGTAATTTGATTCTGAAAGGAGAAGTGTTTATATCAGGAGCGAACGGCTAATAGAAAGTATTTTCCACATTTATAGCCGGGAAAACCTGGGCAGCAAGATTGTTGATTGACTTGCACCAGTCTACAGTCACACTTACTTTTAGCAATAAAGCATTTTATTTGATAATTAATAAGACATTTTCCTATTATCTCAAAGCTGGATGACAGCCATTCTTTTAAAGGGGATGTGATCGTAAAAGGGAAAATTAACCTGTAAGTATAGACAATGCAAGTCAGACTTTAAAGTAGTGATAGTTTGAATGAGTGTAGGAAATATATGATTCTGACTTTTGTTCCAGTTGTGATCTCGCGGGAAGTGAGCGTCTTACGAAGACCAAGGCCGAAGGAGTACGGTTGACAGAGGCTAAATATCTCAACACTTCATTATTAGAGCTAGGGTAAGATGAATCAATCAAGCACTCAACCGTATTTTAGATTACACTGCCTGATCTATGCCTAATTTTCTTTTTTTTTGCCATATCTAATAGGAATGTGATTCATGCTTTGGCTAGAGGAAAACAACGACACGTTCCCTACAGAAACTCAACACTTACACGTCTATTGCAAGACTGCCTTGGGGATAATGGAAAAACTAACTTTATCGTATGTATATTTTTTAAATATATTTTAGCTAGCTATTCTTATTAGCCATTCAGACTTACGACGTTAAAGATATTCTGCAACCCTTTTCTTAAAGGTATGCATTGCCCCGTCATTGAGTGAGGTCAACGAAACCAAATGCAGTTTAAACTTTGGACTTCGAGCAATGAGAATAATCAATGTCGCCCGGCTGAATGTAGAGGTAAAGTGTGAATCACATACAGCTGGCCTAGGCAAGACATAGTTTGACTAAGTTAATTTCTTTTGTTCGCCCTTTTAGATGGATTACAAAGTCTTAGCAGAAAGACTTGCAAAAAAACTTGAAGATCAAGGTGGGTTTTAATAGATGTGATCGACTTAAGTAATTTTTATTAAATGAGAATGAGACGACACATCACGAATCTATCATTTTTTAAATCCCATAGTCCACCTATTTTTATCACAAACTTAAAAGGAAATACTATAGATACAGTCTGAAAGCTAACTTTAAAATAAATGAATGAATGAATGAATAAACAAACAAATAAACAATAAAAACGAGCACATATGGTCAAGTACACGAACGTCTGCGTAGGAGGCTAATGGTCAAGGCGCATGTCTAAATAGTTAAGAATGTCATGTTCAGCATCCCACATGGAAAACAGAGTTTGGAAACTAGATGATTGTAACTCATAGGTAGTAATAGAAATACCTAGTAATAGGATGGGCAAACGATCACGACTATTAAGGGTTGGTAATTTTTGATAATAATTAAAATATTGTATATTTTACAGACCATAGACATAAACTTGAAAAACTTGAATACTTACGAGAAATCCAGCGACTTAACACAGCTGTCACATCATACGAAGAAAGCGAACATGTAGTCAACAGTGACGTAAGTAGTTATGCATGGTTTCATCAACTCTGTGAATCAATCAAAATACCAATAAAATATTGGTCGTTCTTAGATAACCTAGCAAACAAACTTAATCTTATGCATCCAGCAGCTTAACACTATTGCGTTGTAGCATCAAGACCATAAGTATCACACGCATGCGTCAAACCTTTGACCAATAGTCCGTTTCATAGTTCTTGAAAGGTAGCTGTACCTTTGCATCGAAGCGAGACATACGAATGAAAAAGAAGAAGAAAAAAGATCGAATTGGAATTTAAGAATTGATTTTTGAGGAGGGAGGAAAACCGGAGAAAAGCCCTCGAAGTACAGGAGAGAAACAACTCTACTCACATACATCGAGATCGGCAGGACTCGAACTCGGGGGCGGCGCAATTGCAGCGCACGTCACCCTTGCTTCCCTTTTGTTGTTACTTAAACAAAAGGTGAGAAATTCGGGATAAAATAGCATGTGCACTGAAAACGATTCTTAAAGTATGAACTGGCTTATTATTCATATGTTTCTTTCATTGCAAGCTCACCTTTCGTCTCATTTGATGCAAAGACACGGCTATCTTTCAAGATTGCCCCGAATATCTCGACCTGGGGTGGTTGCTTGGGGGCGGTGGGCGTAGCCCCAGTATCTTCAGTTTTTGTCCTTTTTATTTATGTATAATAATTGTCTAGCTTAGAATAATCCAATAGTAATTATGTCAATCTTATTTCTTATTATGTCTAATTTCTTTTATAGCTTCATAGTTTATCGTAAATTTATCTTGTGTGTATGTTATTGTAAATTAGATAGTTTTATCAATAGGAGAAGAGCCACCTCGTGGATTCTATTGATTAAACCATTATTATTATTATTATTATTATTAGATGGCGCATGGAACTGTGAGAGGGAGTATCAACCGATTTTATTTGACTTTTTTTAATTTCAGACTGATACTCTAGTGTCTGTGATCCAAAATCTTTCAAAGAGCGTACAGCGTGAAAAAGAAGCAAAACATAGTTTGCAGTCGGAGTTAACGTGTTTAAAGCAAAAGGTATCCAACTCTCCCACAGTCACTGCTCCAGATATAGAGGCCCTATTCCTTGCCGAGTTGATGTCCATGCAACTCCTTAATCATGTATATCAAAGCGAGGCAGTATTTAAGGCAGTATCTCAAAGCGACCTCCCATCTAAGGTCAGGGATTATATGACATCCACCTGTTCCCAAGAGAATATACTCCTTAATACGGGATACATGCTGCAACTCCTGGAGTCATGCCTTGGATTTGAAGAACAGGAAGATTATGCTTCCAAACTAAACTCAAAAGGTACGAAAGCAATTCCTAAAAATGGTGTTTTACATTTTATTTCTTCCACTTTAATTCAGATTATTCATGGGACCTTTGGGTCGAACTTTTTCTGGCATAATGTTTTCTTCTTTCATTCTTTGTTGTGAAGTAACTTTATCAAACAATTTTTTTCATATACTTGAAAAAAACTTAAGACGTTGTCCCAACTTTTTTAGACTATAGACCAAAGATTACAAAAGCCGAGCAACCAGGAGATGTCCCTGATAAAGGTGACCAATCCCCAACCAAAAGACAAAGCAGATACGTTCAAAACATGACGGGTGGTCTTAAGAAAATGTTCGGTTTACTGGTTGGCAATAAAGACATCGCAAAGACAGATAATTGTAATACAAAATCTGAACATGGTGAAGTGTCAGGAGCAGGAGATAAGTCACAAGAAATGACTGCGAGCGAAACCAATCCATGTTGTCTCGTGGATACAAAGCAAACTATGTCCAAATTAGTGCATACGAAAGAAAGAGTGGAGAAACATGTTGCAAATCTTCTATTGACAGCATTCGGAGAACAGTTAATTTGTAGTCAAGGTAAGCCCTATCCTGCGTAGACCAAATGTTACGGTTTATGTAATACTAAACAAATGATCAACATTGTCTAATAATAGGTAATTCACCGCAGTGGGGTGTCCTTGGCAGGAAACTCAGCGAACTTATCATGTTCAAACGGAACAACATAATCGGTAAGTTAACCGTAGACAAGTAACACGAATTATCATCCATTCCTCACTGAAACAAATCCACTTTACCAATAGTCTAACATTTAAAGGTCTAAATTCAAACAGGTATTAAAGACACCGAAATGTGGTCAAACTACGAGAACATTGCAAATATTCTAGAAAGCTGTTTCAAATACGTACTGATTGACAAAGCCCTACTAGCGTCGATGGTAGTCATTGAGCACATGGATGGTCGAGCCTTGGCGCATAAACATCTCAATCGCCTACCTTCACCAGGACGAACCCTTCAAGAAGACAGAATCGATGTCCAAAAAAACCTTGCAAAAGAAATAAGTAGCGGGCATACGAACGTAAAACAGGGTGCAAAAGCTCAAGGAATCTACGATGCGCAGGACACCAAAGAAAACCCAGGAAAAGGTATGGACGAGAAAGCATCTCCAAGTAAACAAAAGATTGGCACAACGAGCTCTGAGGCAACCATCGAGCAGGAGATAAACGAAGTATTTGATGATACATCAAGGTTAGAAACTGAACTTTTCGCAACCATGGAAGAAAAAGCAAGACTTGAAGATGAACTTATTGTCATGAAAGACTACGTCAATAAGCTTAGGTCCAACATGTTTCACCTCAAGATTGAACGAGCTAATCTTGAAAGCGATTTAAAAAGAACCGCAAAGAGCTTTGATACTTTGTCAGACCCCGCTAGCATTATCCCACAAAAAGAGCACTTTAACAACGCTCAAAGTATCGTGGAGGATTACAGAGGTTTAAAAATAGGGGAACTTTCCGATGTGACGGAAGCTTCATACGAAAGTACTAGCGGAGGAGAAAGTGAAAATGGCTCGCACGTTTCCGAACGTACTGAACAAGGTTCTCAAGTTTTAAAGAACTGCCTAGCAAGTATGACAGAAATGTATTCATTGATGCCCAATCCAGATGATGACACATTAACTGAAGGAGACGATTCCGATGGTAAAGGAAATGCAAGCTTATCTGAAAACGACATAGATGATAGTGATGAGGAAGACATAATTATCACAAAAATAGCACGTGAAATGCAAGACTTCCATGCTCCTTCTTTAAGTAAAGACAAAACTAAGGACACTGTCGGTTTATCCGATGAAGAAAGAGAGCAAGAGGGCTCGAAACTGGATAGCAGTAGCACTAAAACTATAAAAAAACAAGCCATTTTGTTAAAGAATCCACTGGAAATTCAAAAGTCAAATAAGTCATCGAAAATTTTGCAAATTGCATATGAAGATCTTGAAGATGAGCTTTATCATGTAAGAGGTCAACTAAGCAAAGCTCAACAAATCATTCTGAATCTGGAATCTCAGCTCATTGAAGAAAAAGGCAACTGGGAACAGATAAGAAAACTGTATCTAGAGAATAAAGACAAGAATGATGTACTAGAAGGGAAAGTGGCTATTCTAAGGGAAGAGCTTGAGAAATCTTTAAGAGAAAACACATTTTTAAAAGATTATCATAAAGTGGAAGTCGTAGAAGAAGGTCAAAACAAAGCCTTTAGCAATTCAACGAAATCACCCCTCAAGTCTCCTTCAAGAAGAAAAGTTTTTGATCTGAGAAGTATTCCTTCCATCCAAAACAGCAATCGGGAAATGCAAATCATCAAATTGTTGGAGGAAAACACGGAACTGAAGACAAGAAACGAAAAATTGTCTGAAGAAAAAATGTTGGCAGAGCACCATTCAAGAGAAAAAGAATCCAAAGTAAAAGACATGGAAGAAAGAATACGTCATATTGAAGAAGGAAAAAGATCCTTACAAGAGCAAATTGAGACCCTTCAAAGGAGAAAAGCAAAACTAGGCAATGAATTATTAGAACGAAGGGAAGAATCTTTCATCAGCTCTACGGAACTGGATCTTTACAGCAAAGAATCTGAAAGACTTGAAAAGGAGCTTGCAATGGAACGTAACATGGTAGCAAAACTGCGACAGGACAACAGCAGGCTTGCGCAAGATTTAGAGAGAATAGAGTCAGAACTGTGTAGCTGGAAAATAAAAGAGAAAAGTGCTGGTCGAAAAGAAGACCAGGAAAGTGTATCGGTAAACGAGGGATTACAGATGGTCTTCATAGATGATTGTTGTAGCGAGGAAGAAAAAGAAGAAATAAACAAACTGATTGATTCACATAAAGATAATAAAGATGGTAAAACGGTTATTACTCTACAAAAGGAAATAAACTCTATGGCAGAATATCACGAAGCGCTAGAAAAAGAATACAACGAAATTATAAACGAAGCAGAAAAGTTGAGATGTGACTGCCAAGCAAAAACAGAACATATAAAATCTCTCGAACATGACAATGAACATCTACGAAGACAAATGATGAACACTTCTAAGATCACTGCTGAACCGCCAAAAACCATCCTAAGTCGCCTTCATCTCAGAACATCTCCGATCAAAACCAAAAAAGAAGACTTTGATGTTCACGAGAGATATGAAGAAAGTGCCCGCGAACGAAACTACAAAAACACCGAGGATCTAATGAACACCGTTAAACAAGAAAACAGTGAACTGCGCCAAAAGATTAGGAATAGTGAACAGAAGATTGCTATTTACGAAGCAGACTTGGAAAAAGCAATGTTGAAAATAAAACAGCTACAGGAATATCGTATCAGTCGATGTCTAGAGGTGAGAGACACAGATCCGAACTGTAAATTGAAAGAAAGTAATGATCTAGAGAATTATTCAAGTATCTCTGCTGAAATGATGCTGTCAAAGGCTAATAAAGAAATAGAAAGGCTACAAGAACAACTTTTAGACAAGGATGCTGAAAATGGGCTTCTTCATGATGAACTTCATTTAATCCGTTTGAGGAAGGACGAGCTAGATAAGGCTTTAGATGAAGCACGAGAGGCAAGAACAGAGCTACAAGAAAAGATGGAAGAAATGGGCAAGTGTACGCATTTTGAGGATACTGTAAAAGAGTTAACAGAGAAAAACCAACAACTGGAGAAAAAACTACGACAAAGCGAGGAAACGACGCTATCTGCAGTTAAGAAACAAGAAAAACAAAACGAAGCTTTAAGAAAACTAGAGGAAGAATTGGTTTGTGTTTCAGGAGAAAAACTTAAGTCTGAGTTTGAGATGAGAAATGTTGTAATTGACATGGAAAAGACACGAAATGGCCTGGAACAAAGCAAGCAGGAACTAAAATTGCTACAAATTGAGCTCAATGAAAAAATTGAGCGATCAGCCAATCTTGAGATTCAGCTTTTGGAGCTCAAATGTTCTAATGAGTGTATGAAAAGTGAAATCGACCAGTTGAATGAAAAGACAAGGCTTGAGAACCATCAAAACCAAGAACAACACATTTGTAAAGAAACGATGGAAAAAAGATTGCAGGAAACTTTTGTGGCGAACAATCAGCTACAAAGCGAGCTTCATAAGATTTTTGAAGAAAACAAATATTTAAATGAAAAACTCTGTAAGGCCCAAGAATGGAAAGAGAATGCTGAAGAACAACTGAATCAGGTAACTTCCGAAAAGAAACAATTGGAAGGAAAAGTGAAGAAACTAGATGACACTAAACGTAAAATGGAAGAAGAATTGAAACGCCTACGAGAAAATACAAACATTTTACAAGGTGATTTAGGCAAGATTGAAAAACAGCAAGAAGAAACAAACAAGAAGTGTTCTATTCTAGAAAAGGAGATCAAACGCAAGACAAAAGAATTGGAAGGCAAGACGCGGGATATTCGCCGGTTAAGGAAAGAACTCAGTAGCATTAAAGAAGAAAGGAACTTGGTCCAAAGCGAATCGACTGCCAGTCACTGCGAGCCTTCAAATGAAGTCAAGAAAATTAAAGCAAAAGCAGTAGAAGAAGAAGAAGAAGAAGAAGAAGAAAAAGAGGAACTTGTAAATAAACAGTTTGGAGCTGCTTATAGAAAAATAGACTGTAGCAACCAGCAGGTTGGAAGTGAAAATCAAATGAGCAATACCAAAAACGTAGCATTTTTGACAAAAGATAAGGACAGTGTTACAAATACAGCAGAATATAACGAAATTGGTTGGGATTTTGAAAATGACACAGTGGTACAAGACACGATAAAGAGTCAAGATAGGAGTTTAACGATGACCCCAGAAAATGAAAAGCATATTGAAAATCAACCACAGACTAAACAAGATTTGAGTGATGAAGTTGGATGGGATTTGAATGATTCTTACTGGCAGGAAAACAGTTTCCAGGGTAGCTCTGAGAATTCAAACACTGATATTTGCACGCAAAAAAACGAAAATCGTGATGAAGCCACACAGCCTTCGAGTATGACGTTATCTGAAAATAAAAATAAATCCGACATTTATCAAATGCAGCAACAGGATGAAGAGATGGCAGCCATCAGTGCAAAGGCATCAGTCACACAAATTAGTAAAGAAAAGCTTTTACTAGAGAGTGAAACAGCACGTCTTCTTGAAAGTAAAACTTCTCACCTCACCAAAACCCAAATGAGCTTAGAGCAATCATTATCTAAGGCACTTGGAGAAAATAAGCGATTGCTTGATAAGCTCAATGATTCTCGCGTCATTCTGGAAAGAATAAAATCTCGAGTTTCAAAGCTAGAGGAACAGAACGATTGTAGCTTAAGTTTGAATCGCAGTGAAGCAGAAACTCAGACGACCAAGATGGCTGAATTCCTAACAAAAGAAACTCAAATCGGAGAATTAACTATAATCGAAAATGATAACGAAGTAGTAGTTCCAGTAATGGAAGACAAGGAAAATGAAATATCTGAGGTCAACACTTCAAGTTCAAAAGCCATATTGTATTTGACTCGTGAAAAGAAACAAGTTGCAAAAGAACTTGAAATAACGAAACGAAGTCATGAAGAAGCAAAGAAAGAACTGCAGGAGAAGGAGAAATACAGTCTCGAGTTGAAACAAGAGTTAAAGACACTGCGACTTTCGCAAGAAGAGGAAAAGCAGAGTTTATTGAAAGAATTAGAAATGACGAGAGGAGATTATAATACGATAAAAAGAAAACTCAAAGAACAAGAGGAGTATAAGGCGTCCAGTGAGGAGCTAAAAGAAAAACAAATACAGGCGGAGAGACTAATCATTGAGCTAGAGAAGGATTTAGTGCGACAGACAGAAGAAAAAGCAATACTCAAAGGTAAACTGTCTGACTGCCAAAACAAGCTGAAAGAACTAGAGATACTTGAACAGGAGTTGCGATCACTCAGAAACGAAAACAAACAGATGAGCACCGTGCAAGAGGCAATGGGACAGCAGATTGAGCATTTCAGGAAAGAAAACCAGGAACTTTTGGAGCGAGTTCAAAAACGGAAACAATCCTGGAACATGAGCAGACAACGGAGAAAAGTAGCCGGGAGGAAAAAGGAAGCAGGTTTTTCTGTAGGAATAGGAAGAAAAACGAAATGTATGACTTTGAAAGAAAAACATACAAAAAGTATGCAAAACAGAAAAAACACCGCTTCGTCTGAATCCAGAAGCTCAGAAGAAAGTGATGATTATCAGGACGAAAATGATCACAACGCTCATGAAAATACTATGAAACAACTCGAAGATAGCAGAACCGATAACATGCAAAACAAGGATGATAAAAACGAGATTTTAGATGAAAATGAAACAAGAAGATCAACAAGGAAAGAGTTAGACACGAAGTCTCATGACAATGAACGTGATAATGAAATGCATAATCCACCAGAAGCACTTGTCGCAACTACTTCAGATGACATACCCACCACAAATGATACTGAGCAAACATCAGCAGATGACACAATTATAGTCAGCGGGCAAGATCTTAAAAGCGACGAAGAAGCAGAAGAAGAAGCTAACATTGAATTAAAACTATCAAAGATTCTGAAAGAGCGACAAATGATGGAAGAAGAAATGCAAACACTTTTACAAGAAATGAACAACCTCAAGGCAAGATTCGCTACGAGACAGTTGGAAAACAACTCGCATGAAAAGGATGACCATGACGAGCTTAGAACACAACTAGAACATTTACAAAGCGAAAAAAACGAAATACAGGAGCAAGTGGTGACACTAAAAACAATTAACACAAAGCTCGAGGTTGAGCTTTCGGACGCCTTGGATGTAAAACTAGCCATGGAGGCAGAAATAACGAGAATGAGAACAGCCCGCCAAAAAGACCATGAAAAAGCTGAAAACCTGAATGAGAATAACAAGAAACTCGAAAGTATGCTTGCTATTGTAATGGAGGAAAATTCCACTTTATATCAAGATGTGTCGGCACTACGTGAAAAAAATCAGGTACTTAAAAGCTACAACATAAGAGAAATAGTAGATGGCAGTACTCAAGTATCACCAAGAACGACCGAAGACGAAGCTGACAGTAACAGCACATCTCCTACACAGAAAAAATCCCCAGAGAGCGCAAAATATGAGAATAAAACAAACACTTCTTATTCCAAAGCTCTTCTTGAATTGCCGATCAAATCAGTGGGTTATTTGATGAAGTATCGATGTCAAAACACTACGGAAGGTGCAGTTAAACCGTTATCAGCTTCGAGCCCTGACACTTTCGGAAAAGTAGACAGTGGTGTAGAAAACACAACTGACGACAATTGTATTACATCGTGCGAATCTAAACACATACTTTCTGAGGAAATAAACCAAGAACAGAGAAATTTCAAGGATCAAGATCGCGKGGCAAAAAATCCTGAAAGCGCTGGTGACAAGACGATGTGCAGTCAGTGTCGTACACATGATTGTCAGTGTAGAAGTAGCACCAAGGGAGTGCAACGTTTTGACGTAATTCAAAAGGCACGAAATACTGGTTCCAATGAAAACCCTACTTTTGAGTCACTGTGTAATGATCATGATTTGACAAGCGGTGACGTGTTAACTGATAGCTCTTTTGCCTCGGTCACTGATTTTGAAGACATAAGTTTTTCTTCTGATTGGGTTTCGGCTGAGGACTTACGCCCTGGGCATTCTACATCCAAAGGACATCGAGGAATAAACAAAATGCACAGAGAAATGGCTGAAATCAAATGTACAAATACAATTCTTGAGAATGAACTGACTATCATGAAAAATAGAAATTCTGATTTTCAAGCACAGTTGCAAAAACTCGCCGGGAAGAATAACTCTCTAAAGCAAAAGATATGCGACCGCTCGCTGGCTATCAAGAAAGCCGAAAGAGAAATGACTGCGTTAACCGAAGAGAAAATGAGATTAGAAGTACAAGTATCTGCATCAAAGGAAGAAATAAATAGACTTGAGCGCGACAGAGGTAAACTCGAAAGAAGTCTTTCCAACTCAAAGGCTGAGAACAAGCGTTTAAAGAACGATTTAGCGATGGCTAGGGCTGAAAGCTATAAAACAAAGAAAACTTTAGTAAACTTGGAAGCCGATTACAAAAAATTACAAACAGAATTTGAGGATACGCGGGATCAATTAACAAGTATCACGCAACTTCCGGTACACAAGAACACAACTGGCTTATCAACGGATAAGCAGCATTTACGTGATTCTTCCATGTCGTACCTGGAATGTGTGATGGCGCCTCATGATACTGGAGAATGTATTGCAAATGCTGGGGTTTCTCTTCCACATCTAACGACTTCGAAAAGTGCAAGTGTAAGGAGAGTGTCAAGCGATCAAACATTCAATCCATCTTCGGTAAGTAGCAGATATACTCCACACACAAATGTTTATTCAATTCTTTGACTGTTGTAATTGCTGATATTTTCTGTTACATATCAGGAGCCGAAAAAATCGCTTGAAAACTTTCATCTACAGGAAAGAAAGTTTCAACGTCAATGTAAATCTCAAATGTTCCCTACAGCTAAAGGTATTTATGGTCAGAAATATACGTTCGGAATCTTTTACCCCGGACATTAGCTAGTTTGGCTAGAAACACATATTATATACTTATTTCAATAAAGTTAGCCACCAAAAACCTAGAAAGATGTGATCGGAAATGTTTCAAACACATATATCCAACAAATAAAGCGTTTGACACAAACTGCATCTGTTGAGGATGCTCAGAGGAGGTGAACTCGTAACTGGTAGAAGATCTCAAGTCCATCAACAGTTATCAAGCGGTTGAAACATGTAAAATGTATCTATCCATAATCCTTGTCGGTCTCAGCTCTGTAGCTTTTCAGGTGACTAACTTTATTGAAGTAAGTGTATACGCATCTTATCATTACTGTATTCAAAAGCCATTATTATATCCGTGAAACAGATATAACGGCTAATGAATTGCAGCTATTTTGTCGAAATACGTAGTGGAAATTACTGGAGCAGACCATTGGGAACAGAAGAAATAGAGTGCACGCACTAAAACCATGAGCATTAAATAGTACTAATTAGTACTATTTCATACAGAATCCTTTGTTTTCTATTGTTTGATTATCACTATTTAGTGCTAAAAATTAGTATTTGTTTCACGGGATTTAGTGTGAGCACACTATCTCTGCACGTCTTTGTTTGGTTCATGCCGAGTAAATTCTACAACTAAATAGTTTATAACTAAATACTAAGTCCTAAATAGCTGGTAATAATTGTTTCACGGAAATATGGTGTGCACTCTATCACTGCTTGACATGCAAATTATGTTCCATCATAGAAGAGACTAACTAGCACTAGGGAGGTGGAAGGGAACATCTACCTGCTAAGACTTACTTTTACATAGACTTGCCCAAAAAGTCACCGTTTTTAATTCCAGGAGAGAAGATAATTTTTTTGTGTCTATAATTACAAAAAAATATTTAGTTTGTACAACATAATATGATATAATTACAAATGAGTTGACCATATATCGTTCATATCATCGTAAAAAATATCATTCGTCAAAGAATATTCAGCTAACCTATATGTTATTATTACTTCCATTATCACGTGCGCAGAGCCCACATCTTTGACACAGTCTGACGATTCCGAGTCCTCCCGTTCCGAAACAAATCTAAGACTGGAGAATCAAATGTCTTACAGCAGCAATCTTAGTTTTTCAGACGACAGGGACCGAGACAGCAGCTCCCATAGCGATGAAGTAGTAAGCTGTGAACATGATGACAAGAAGGTGCCCCAAAGTGGCATTAAAAAAATGTTCAAGAGATTTTCAAAGTCTAAGAAGACTAACAAATCATTTTCCAGTTGATCATCCAAATGAGGACGTTTTTCAATATCAATTGCTGGTTTTCAATCATTTCCAAAAGAATGTAATTACAAAAGACAAGGAGGCCATGTTGGTTGATATAACAAAAGAGACTAATGACGAATCTTTTGTTAAATTCCTCCAACATGGCCGCCGTGAAAACCATCAGTAAGCACAAGAAAACAAAAGATAGAAAAATGTAATTCTAAAACTGCTCGTTTTACAACAATCTATTTATTCTCACGAACATGTACTCGGATACCATTAGCAATATAAGTTGTAAATAATATGATAATAATATATGATAACAAAGAGAAGCTTATTAATAAAGCGACGAGGCCGACTGATGACCACACTATTCACTGTTTTATTTCTTACTTAAAGCTATTCATGACCAGAATGTTAAAACAAGGAAAAAGACGATATCCAAAATCACACCAATAACAGTATATGACGTCTTTTTAACCATTCTTACTACCCAAAGGTACAACTGGCCTGAAATAAAACACTTGCGAAGTGAATCAATACAAACTAGTTTTACAAATGGTTATTCAATACCAAAAATATTTCAGATATGGCTCTTGATCATACTTTTCGGATAAATGGAGGCAATGAGTAACCTAACAGAATTAGCCCTATCATCAAGGCAACACTTTGCAATCCTCTAAAAAAAGTGTTAGCCTCTTAGTTCGGGCCATACAGAAAGTGAGGTTCATTCACTCAGCCTTAAATCCAACACTTGAATTTAAAAAACTGATGAAGGTCAGGATCGTCAACATCTTTCCCATGTACCCCAGCATATACTTGACATAAAAGCTTACTGTATTTGAAGGTCTTATCTAGTGCCTCAACGTACTTCTCGATAACAGTTAGTCCCATAGTTTTTCCCAAAGAAATCAAACTTGGTCCAAGCCTGGGGTCATCATACTTCTCGTATTTCATAATGATTCGTACGATTTCCCCGTGAATGTAGGCATCGTCAAAGCTCTGATTTTCTTTAAAAGGATACTTTGAATAAACATCAACAGCCTTCATAGGATCTGAATTGATAAGGGAATCAGCCAGCTCAATGTACGCGTCATGGAAGTCTGGCGCCAAGGAAATGACTTCCTCATAAAGCTTACGGATCTCATCCTTGTCTGCATCTTTGCGTACTAGGACTCTCGCAAGTCCTAGACGGGATTGATAAGCAGGCTTGTTGATTGGTCCCACAGGCTTGTCTGCCTCACCTTTTGATTTGCTAGAAATAACGTCTTGTTTCTCTGGCGTTTTTTCAATTTGCGAATGTGACTTCGTTGCCGCACACGAGCCACTTTTGTGAGATGACGGCGGTTTGGTTGGCGATGCTAAATAAAAGTAAAGTATTTTAGCGTTAGTAAATATATTTCTCTTTATCAAGTAAAGTATAATGTGCGAATATTACATCTTGATTCATACAATTTTCGATATACCTGAAGACTTGGCTGCAGAAGTTGTCTGTTTGGCAACCGCAACTCCACTCCTCGACTGCGTAGAAGTTCCCTTTGTTGGTGATGCCCTACCTCTTGCAACTGGTGGTTTAGCTGACACTCCTCCTCTGGTACTTGGAGTATTACCCACACGTCCAACTAACATTATATAGATGATACGCAAGCTATTAACAAGAGCGAACTCACAGTAAGTCGTTTCTAAAAACAATACTTACCATTACTTGTAGTTCCGCGTCCCCTGGCAGACACACCACCTCTCGCTGGAGCAGCTCCTTTTCCTATCACACCACTTATCTTTGAAGATGTGGCAGGTTTCTGTGTAGTGGATGTACTCTTTGCTTTTTCTTCTGACTGAGACTTAGCTTGTCGCTCTTTGTACCAGTTTTGTTGGCATATTTTCTCAGGTAATGACTTTCCTCCTGAAGGTTTACCTTCTAATTCTAAGCTAACACGATAGGTATCCTCGCACTCAAGTAAACGGTCTTTGCTGTTTGTTGGATCGTTGTCATAGCAGCGTAACTGCGCATCTCCTAGAAGGTAGATTGATCTGCTGTTTGACGGCTGTAGCAATACTGCTTGCTGACACGTCTGAGGATAAAGTAATCAAATAACAGCATTCTTTTTAGCCCTTCTTAAAGTGGCTATTAAGTCAAGCACATGGTTACCTTTTCTTGTAGCTCCAAAACTTGTTTCTCAGGTGGAATACTAGAGTTTTTAATAAGTGCTGAGAGATTGTCACATCGACTTGTAACCAAATTTTGGTCAATTGGTTTGTTATTATTGTCTGCCTCGAGAGCCAACTGTAGAAGTGAGGAATGAGCTTGAAACAGAATCCATTCTACTGCATAATATGTGTGACCTCTAGCAACAAGAGAGTGCATAACTCGTGTACAAACTATTGCAGCACAGTGGTATGCATCGCCTGAAGACATTACCCCAACAGGCAATGTAGGATTACCTTTCACTAGAAGTAAACACATTTTACAATTAAGACAAGTGAGTATTTTGCACAGCATACATATTTCATACCGGGATAGTCCCCGACATCAAGGTAACAGTTTGTTAGAAGTTACATGTTAGAAGTTACAACTTGTTTATTTACCTTGATCTGCCAGTATCAAAAATGCTTGAAGACAATGAATATTAGGTACTTTTATTGGTTTGGTTGCTCCAAATTCATGATTTTCTTCCCCTGGAACATAACTCAACATATATTCCAAACCCTCTGATATGTATCCAATTGCTTCATCTTTTCGTGTACCAGCTCCTTCTGTTTGCTGGACTAAAGCGAGACCTAGATAAAATCTAAGAATTTTACAAAAGGTAAATGAAGGGGAAAATTAATAACATATTTGCAGTAAAAGTTATCAAAAAGTTGAATTATAAAATTAAAAAGCATAAATTTGCATCATATTTGTACTTGATACCTTGACTCAATATTTGTTGGCTTAAGTCCTACTGAAGTCTGCAATCTAGGTACAGCCTCATCATGTTTACCTTGAAGTACAAGCATCCTACCAACATGCAGGCTGTATAGGTGATTATCCACATTGCATGCTAATGCATCCATATACTTCAGATAGGCTTTACCTAATGGCTCTTCTTCATTAACAACTATTTCAGCAGTCTTGCAATCCTGTCATCAATAACAATAACAATACCAGCCAGGTTTTTGGAAGCACAGGTGGTATAGAGGTGAGAGTACTCCCCTTGTGAAACAAGCCAGGATTATTTATTTATTTCATTTCATTTTTTGCAATAACAGAGCATATTCTCGCAATCTGGTTGGCTGACAGCTATAATAAATAAGAGGACAAACACAGCGCTTGGATCCAGCGTGCTTGAAACTTTTTTTCTTTTAAACTTTTTTTCTTATTTTTAGATGTTTTTATGTTTATTCTATTGTAAAAAAACAAATGGCTTATAGATTTCCATTGTCTGTTCTCTTATCAAACATAGATTACATCGTAAATGTTCAAAAGTTTACAGTGAAACCACTCGCTGTGCTCATGGTTCCACTTTAAGTTTTGAACATTTACAGACATCATCTATGATCAATAAGAGGACAGACAATGGAAATCTATGAACAATTTTWAAAAATTAAGCTGTGAGTCTGGTAAACAAATATTATTTGATGTGTAATACATTTGAATTATGATCACATTTAACATACCTTTAATGTCTGTTTTGATTTGAATACATATAGTTCCTGTACATATTCAGCCTTAACAGATCTTCCTTGTTCCACAAGGTAGTGGTATTCGTCATCTAAAGCCTTAAGCTGTAAACTCAAAGGAGCATTTCGACCAACACCACGTGACTCACAAAGAGCTTGAATGTCATCTTCTTTGGAACTTTCTTTTGACTTTAAATTGAAGTCTAATTCAGGTTCTGAGGTTTTCTATATATATCAAAGGAAAAAAAAAAGAAATAAAAAGAAGACTGGTTTGCTTAAATGGTTACACTAAGTTAACATGCTACTATGACCAAATTTCTGACTTGCTGCTTTTTTTGCCTGGATTGAAAGACTGTTGATAGTAAAGTGAAATGTCACTTTCTTTTGTCAAATTTCTTTTTTCCTTCCAAAGATAATGAAACTTAAAATGGTGGCCACTTTTCCTGATGACTTAACCAGCAAAGGATTATGATATGCATAGGATTGTGATAAAATATAGCCTGAAAAGTTTGTGTATTGTCATGTCACATGTTTTGAATAAAAGTAGACTGCAAAGTTTGAATGACATTCATCAAATACTCAGAAATATACTGGGATAGATCTATATTGCAGGAAACTGTGAGTTGATATGACCTTAATTAACCTCCTAATTAGCATTAATATCTCTTTGACCAAAAATGCCAACAAGAAATGGAAAGCTGCAGTTTTCTCTATTTTGAAAAGTTTGAAACGTGTGTTGAGTAAGATCACATTAAAGTACACAGAATCCCTGACTTAATATTCTCAATATTTACTACTCGAAACAGAACGATCGTTAAGAACATGACAGAAAGAACATACATTATGGCCAGAGTCCGTCTTGGAAAAACAGGATCATTAGCCTTGGCAGATCATGCTAATAAATGTAACCATGATATAGCATGGAATTATTTGAGGGTCCTGGCGTGAAGTTTCTTGGTCTAAGTGCAAATTGACTGAAGTATTTTAAATAGCTTCCAAGAACAATGTGATGTTCAATAGAGACTGTGGAAGGACTGTTCCACATAGTTACATGCCACTTAATAATAAGTCAAACGCTAGTATCGTCTATATAATTTTGATAATTAATTAGTTAATCTATTTATTTGTTTTGTTTACTATAGAATATCTTAGTTTATAAGTATTTTCCGTGCGCATAACGTTCGTTAGCTCGCGCACACGTGATTGTCATTGTCTCGCAACTTTGAATGTAATTTCAATCAGTTTTTCCCTGATGATGGGTTTGTAACCTGAAAGCTTGGAGCAGGAATACAAAATAAAAAAATATGGATGAAACAAAAGGGTAGCAAAATCATGACTCCCACAAACAAAGAAACTCTTAATTCTCAATATTGTTTTCAGCTGAAGTGAATATATATGGTAAAATATTTCCTGTTTTAAGTGTCGTGAAGCTTTATTCTTGCAGTATATGTAAATGACTGTGACATCATGTAAGGCATTTGAGTGCATGTATTAATAAAACTACTGAATTAGGGGTTATAAGCCCAGTATTTTATTTTATTTTATTTGTGAAATATAAACAAGCAAGCAAAATAACACATACCGGAGGCTTTAGTCCATATAAATCCTGACAATAATACATTTCCTCATATACTTGAGCAAGACAAAAATGAACTTTTGCATCTTTGGGTGTGAGTTTGATAGCTGTAGCATACCACTCTGCTGCTGAATTTAGAAGTTGAAGAGGATGAACCTCACCATAAAACTGTCCAGCACATCCTGTAAAAAATGTTTTTATTGTTGTATAGGATCAGCCTGCTTCATACTTAATCCCTAACCCAAATCATGACCTTAAGGGTAAACTAGAAATCTGGGAGGGGGGGGGGGGGGGGGGGGGATTTTGAAAAAAGGTTACCTTAAAGGCAATGGAGTCTTATTCAGGTCAGCATGGCAACAAATGATTTTTACCCAAATAGGTGCCATTTATGAATATCCTGAACATCTCCGGGGAATTTAGCCAAACTGTTGTATAGTTTATGTTGGGAATTTAGCCAAACTGTTGTATAGTTTATGTTAGCTAAATTAGATAAGATAATTACTATTCTAGATGGACTTGGTAACCATGGACTTTGTAAATTTGGATCTACAAGTAAACAGTACTTTCAATGTGATACTTTGTTTATAATGCTCAGTGATTTGTGGCAGGTAAAAAAAATAAATTTAATTTAGCACATACAGTGTAGCCTTCCACTGAAACCTTTGTGCGTGAAAAATGAAGCATATCTTGAAATATTGGGCTCTGTTTTATGTATCAGGCAAATTTGGGAAAGATCTAATATTTAGTTTGGAGACACTAATGGTGACATGGGCTTTCAGCATAAATATTATAATGAATAAATACAAAAACCCCACCCACACCTAACTAAAATAAAGCCAAATTTGATCAAAAACTTGCTCTTTAGCTTTAGATAGCAAGCCTAATTCCTACTAAATATGAAGCTTCATTCCTACTAAATATGAAGAAATGCAAAACAAACTTAATAGATCTGCTTTTCATTTTTGAAGTTATTTTGCATAGGAAGGACATCACACATATAAGTTTTTGTAAAATGAAATATTAATTGCTTTTGCTGTGCTGATAATATACTGCATATGAGAATATATATAGCTATATATTTGTACTGTGGTTGTAATGTATTAAATTGAGCTGATTCTCGCAGTATAACCAAGCAACTTATACAGCTTATAAGACTGTTGAAAACATTTTTTTAAAATTTTGAGTCTTGAACAAGATTTCAACCCATGCCCTGGCAATTCTGGTGCCATGCTCTAACCACTGAGCTACCAAGCTACCTCATTTATGAGACTTCAAGCTAGGAAACATTATGTGGGTTTATCGGCCCCATAGGAGATATATGTACATGAGAATATATATAAACCATATATTGTAGTGCGGAATACTACAATATAATATATATCTCTTACATACCATGCTTGGGAAGGGCTTTCAAATAATCTTTTTCGATTCCTTTTGCTGTAAGCATCAACTTTTCAGCAGACTTTTCACTGGTTTCTTGTATTAACTTTTTCTCCCATCCTCTAACTTCCACTTTATGCAATGAAACAATATTAAATTGTTTGCTTGTGCACATGTACATCTTGYGTAATTCTATTTCATTTGTGCGCACAGGCCGAGTACAATCTGAGCAGGCCATTGTACAGTCCTATTAAGGAAAACATCAAACATTTAGTTGGAGGGGAGGGGAGGGGAAGGGGAGATCTTAAAAGTTAAAATGAAAATGTGTGTGTTCAAAATGAGATCAAAGGCTGAAAATAAACCAATAAACCAAGTTTGGTTAGTGCTTGTTTGATAGCACTTTTGCATGATTGCATCATTTGACTCTCACTACCATGATGCTTTGCAAATTTTCTTTCTTATTTAAATTTTTATTCCCTCACGAGAATAGCACTATAGCAAGACAAAATTTGGTGCTAATTAACTAGTAAACAAAAGAAAGTGTGCAAGTTAGTCTGGTAGTAGAGGTCAATGATCCTAGCTAATGCCCCGGGGGGGTACTCCCATATATGGACTATACGGGGATGATCCGCTGAACAGCGTATGGTTTTTCAAGCTTCTTGTCATAAACAGGGTATGCAATTTCACTCAAGCTTCAATTTTTTTCCTGCGTTTCCTGTCATACTCAGGGTTTCTACTTTCGTATTGACCGAAACTGGTTACTATGGTCTTCAAAAAGCGATACGCGAGCTGGCATGATAATTGAAACGGGAATTCAGTGCAATTAATTATATCTTTTGTCATAAACAGGGTACCCCTTTCAGAATCCCAGCGGGACACCCCTACCCAAATCCTGGCTGAGTACCCCCTCGGGGCTCATGCAAATGTGCTTTTCTCCCATGTAAATAAAGCTCTCTAAGATGCACCCTCTTGTTCGTAAAAGTTTTTAATAATAAGTAAATGCAAAGGGTGATCATGAGCTGTTACCTTGGACGTGGTTTGCAAAACCTTAGCTTTAACTAACTCTGATGATTTGTCAACTATGACTGGTCTGTATTCACAACAGTCCATGTGGTTGCCCAAATCGAATAACGTTGGTTTTTCAGAGCAGCCCCAGTGTTTAAACACACAATAGGCTGGTGAAGTTGACAACTCTTTATCCAGCTCAAACTCATCAAGCCTCCACTCTCCCATCAAAGGCGTATCATCCAGTGGGTCTTGTTTTGAGGTTCGCGTGGTCTCATCAATGCAAGATTTACAGTACACACGCCCAGAAAGGCTTCCTTTAATAGACTTTGGTCTATGTGGTATACCAAGGCAAATTGGGCACTCTGCTTTCTTGATGTCGCCTTTGTTCACAAAGTGTGCAGGTCTTAATAAATGTTGTTTGCAAACTTTTACAGTGTAAAGTTTGCAGGTACTTTTATCTGGAGATGTCACTTCGATTTCTACTTTCGTTTCGCCAAAGTTGAGCTGGATTGGTGCATTGAAATCCTCTCCTCCGTTTAGTTTCAAAGCCGTTTTCTGGTCTGCTGCAGTTGCTGTTATCTGAATAAACGACACTGATAATGGAACAGCTGTAGTATAGGTTTGAATGTTAGCTGCAAATGCTGGACTGAGTTCCCCCACTGAACATTTCAGGTAGCTGAGCAAAGCTTCCTTAGCTGACAATCTGGTAGCGCTTATGATATAGTTCTTGATTGTAGTTCCATCTTCGGCAGTTACCTCGATCTTAATTGAAGTGGTTTCTCCTTCTGGAAGATCTAAAATCTTACCAGCACCTCCCTTTAAAACGATTTAATGCCATTCATATTTGTTAAAAAGCAAGCTAAAATAAGCCAAGTGTGATCGGTTACCACTAGTTTCTGAGAAAGACGAAGACTTACCAATATCCTGTAGGAAGCTCCACAATCACTTGTCAGTGGATCAATTTTGAGTTGCTTTACATCGCTCTCTAAGGTAACAGAATAATCGATGGTATTTGGATTGAAAACAGGGCATAATTTTCCTGGGGAAATAGTCAACTTCTCCAAGTCTGCGTTGTCCATGTTGGTTGTCAAGAACGCTTTTCAATGTTAGCCTCGTTCTCGTGCGTCGCATGAATCCAGCTAAATATATTTTACATATTTCTGTATATATTTCTTGACTCGTGTTATTTATTGCAAAAAAAGTTGATATAAATAAATAAATTGCTCATGTAAGATTATAAATATAACATTACAAATATATTTTGCCACTCAGATACTTGAAACAAACAGACTTGATCCTAGGAAAGGAAATTGATTGTGCTATTTAGAATACTAAATAGCAAAATTTCATGCAAATTCCATTGTTTTCTATTGTTTAATTAACACTATTTTGTACTATTTAGCAATTAGTATTTCACGGATTGTTTGCACTCTAGTAATAGGAAGAGATAACTAGCTAAAAACTAGTGTGAGCTGCGTCAGTGTTTTTAATGAAACAGTAATGATATAAAGGTAAATTATACACCGTGAAAAGATGAAAAAACTTTTTACTGACATTTCGGACGCTAGTCCTTTGTCGGAGTAAAAGAGAAAGAGGTGGTAGAAAGGAGTGTTTATATGATAGAATAAGACAAAAGAAACCGAGGAAACAAAAACAAACCATCAAAATAGTAGTAACAGTTTTAGTAGTATTGCTAACAATATTACAGACTGAAACAAGATTATATTACAATACAATACAATACAATACAATACAATACTATTATGTGCAATTTTTATTTGCTCATACAAGAAAATTTACATGAAATGTGAAAAACAACTATAGAAAACAACTAAGAAAATAAAGAATAGATAATTGTCTAAAGAACATAATTCAGAGCCTGGGGTCTAAATTAACCATAAGGTTTTCGAGTTAGACCCCAGAAATGTAAAATTTAACATTGGAGTAAACTGAAGAAGAACCAAGTACATAAAAAATAATTACAATTTAACTGAAC